AGGAGTTGGCGAGAAAAAGTTAGAAGCACTTTGGAACAGGAATTGCAATTCTTCTCTAATTTTATTTAGCTACATAAAAAATTTGCATGATGGAAGATACAAAACTTTATATAACTAGATACGTATCTTCTAGTTAACGAACGAGTTACTGAATTACGAAGGTCATATCTCAGAAATTACTCTTAGTATGTTTAAATTTTTATTGCACGGATCGTAGAATCATGAAGTACGAGAAGCCTGTACGCATCACCTTGAATAAAATTTCACGTTATTGACAGCGGAACTGCTGTTACGCTATTATACTTACCGTGTTAAAAGTCACGTAGGAGAGAATAAGAATTTTCCCCGCAGTTATAGTCAGTGGTTTTTTACTTCTTATCATGATCATTATCAGAAGCTTCTGCGACATTACCGGCATCTTGTACCACTCTAACTTATATCTGCAAATATAATTATTATAATTATTATACTCTTGGCACGTCTATTCTGCAAAGCACAACTTTAATCTTAATTTCGTTCAGTTGAACATTTCCGTTCGAAAGATAAACTAATGTTTTCAAGGGAAAATAACGAAGTTAAGTTAGAGTTGTCAGAAAGGAGTAACTGTAACTGTAACTTCGTCACAAGTAACGAGTTCCCAACCCTGAGTGTACTTATAGCTGCAAATCAGTGACTATTTACTGTTTCCAGTTCACTGATTGATTTTTAGAGAGTAAATTTATGATTTTTATAACGGCCATTACGCGAAATTGACGATTTCTATTAAACATTTTGTATATATTCTATCACACATACGCGGACTCAAACACCTTTTCGCTGCAGTCCATGATTTTCTGACCTTGCCAGTTTTCCAAGAAGATGTTCACCACAAGGCCACTCAGATAAGAGCCGTACGGCATGAGGCGGCTGAGGCTTTGTTCCATACTTGTTACCACCTAAAACGGTTGCATATATGATTTTACGGTACCGCGCTGCGCATATCAAGTAATTATCAGGTAATTTACCTGAAATCCTACGATACTTATCACCGACACATTAATTACCATTTGTAAAAAAAATGGTAACCTATACAGCGATTCTATGGCTGCGGCAAATCTGGCGTAACGTGCACGAAGACATTAATTTCATCGCTATCGACTATTTATTAAAAATTATCGTGGAAGCGTATACTAACTGTATTGCCTCCGCGTGTTTTCGAACACTATATACGATATTTGAGTAATATTTATTCTGCATGTTGTTATTTTCACTTTCAGATTCAAATGCGCTTTCCGAATAGCATCTGAAAGTGCGATTTTACATTTGAATATTGAATAATGTATTTTAGTATTGAATATTTTATGATATTAATACGTAGATATGCGTATATAATTATATTTTTGTATATTTATATCTAATGTTTCATAATTTTTTAATTATTTTTATTTTCAATACTTAGTATATATTTTAACTTCCCTCATGTTTCACAGTATTACATTGAATGTCACAAGGAAAATTATGATTTGGTTTGTGATACTCGGTGATTTTTCAATAATTTTTATACCACTTCTCGTCGATTTTATGGTACTTTACTTTCAACAAAATATTTCCATCAAGGATATAAAGAAAAGTTAGCTGTATACTGATTCTATGATGGCAACTTTATAACATTCACAAACATATTAATTTATCACTATTGCTCACGCGAAAATAATAAATATTAAACGTATACTCACTGCATCGTTTCTGTGTGTCTGCGAATATTGCACGCAGAATTGTTTGCATAAGATTTATCTTTCGTAGTTGTCAATCTGTCGTTTTCGTAAACCAACGCGGTTTCCAACCGGTATCTGTGCTCAATCAGAAAATCTTTAGAAACGACAACCTCTTTGGAACAAAAATATCTCCGCGCCAAAATCTCTCTCAATACTATTTTTATATTATTTCATCGTTTTTTAAATAAAAATTCAGTAAAAAGTCATTTTCATTAAAAAGTCATAGCTTTTAGTTAAACTCAGCAAATTGCGTATCTAATATTTCATGATTTCTTTATTGATTTTTAATAGTACACTTTAACGTTTCTTAAATAAACTATCCCACTATTCACGTTGGACTCGCATCTTTGCAGGATCCGTGTACTTAATTCAATCGTTCATCCGACTCACCTCAAAGCCGCGAACAATCCGCAGCAATGTTCGACCAGAGTTAAATACAGAACGTCAAATATAACAAGTAAGTAAGTAAAAGAAAAGTCGCATATGGCGCTGTGTATAAAAATTGGAATGTAGTATGTGTCTAGATCAACCATATAATTAACCCGATGAAGCAATCCTATTGTACTTGATATCTCATCGGTCTTCTCGGATTTCGTATAGAAGAAAAATCTTGTCAGTAATGTCGAAAGTATGTACAAAACGCTCAGACTTAGTATGAAACCTAATTTGCAGAAAAATTTTCATAATTTACAATTATTGTTAACAATTACTTTGATATAAAATTAATACTTTATGAAGCATCAAATCCCTTCAAGCACATTTAAAGATACCGTAGTACACAGTGCATTTCAAAACCACTCAAGAAATACAATTTTTATATTAATGTCTTTAAAATTTCGTTACTGTTTCTTTATTGCTGTTAAGTCGATTATATTATTAAAGTCACCCGTATAAGCGTAGCCTAACTTTCGACCGTATTGAGTGTACGAATTCTGTATCTTAGCTTCCTCATCCAATTTTGGGGAGAGACAGCACTCTTGCATCTTTATAAAAAGCTCCTTGACCTGTTACTCGAAAGAGATTTAAACGTGATAAGATTTAATTTAATTTTTCTTGTTGCTATCATGTAGTCAATCGTTAGTTAAGATTATTATTTTTATTCACGCACCTTCGGTAACGTATATACCAAAGAGAACAGTTTACAAAAGGCCAGTATCGCGTAAGAAATCAACGGCAGGGCATCGATCACTTCGAAGGAATTGTGCTTGACTTCAATTACACCTAACATCTGAATTTTCCGTCGATCACGTTACGAACATGTCATATAACAAATTATTTTAATTGATCGCCCCCTCCCCCCATCGCAAATTACAATACTTATATCACCCAATGGGAGTACAATATTTGTAAAATGTTTTTTCAATATTTAATTTTATTAATTACACATTGTACAACAGTAATATTGAGGAGAGGGAAAA